GAGGTAAAATCCTATAATATGCTGACGGTTTTTTTTTCAGAAGAAATTTCAAATACGTTTGAACAGTGTAAAATTGATACCAAGACGCATTTTGTTAGAGTATATCTCAAATGTGGAAGCGGTTTGATTTAGTTCAAGTGGTGTTTTTCTAATAGCAAAAAAATTCATTTGACATAAGCAAGCTCTGATACGGATAAGATTCTGTTCAATAATGAGAAGAAATTCCTAGCAGTAGGACCATTGGAAACTATGGATGAAAAATCCAACTGTTCTTTTCAAAAGCTCTGAAGAGTTTTTGACTTAAGCAAAAAAAAATTTTTTCATTGTCAGGAGAATCTTCTCTATCTCTATTTCAAGTTCCATACAAGTATGATAACCAAATGAAACTTTTTTCTAAATTTAGATAAAGAAGAAAGCACATGTTTCCGAAAATATGTATGAATAATGAGGAGATTTTCTGAAGTGGTGGAATAATTTGGAGAATAACAAAATTTGCATAAGTGAGCTGTTTTTTTCTTTTGGAGATAGTACGCAAATATGCGTGCTAAAGCAAAATTCTGGTGCTCTTCTCCTTTCTTTTCGTAAGGTGATTGAGGTGGAAAATGTTTTGTTAGACATTGGCACTGCATTATGAAAACTTTATGAGGATAATACCAGAATCGATCCATTGCTGAAATTTTGTTAGCCGCGCGAAATTTGAGTTTCTTGATTTTTCAAAAACGAGTGATAGTGGTAGTCCTGAACTGAATTATGCGAGCAGAGTTGTATAGTTGCGTATTTCAGATGCTTGGCTCTACAAATATAGCATTCTTGAGATATATTTTGAATTTTGAATGAAGGATATTTCGGTTTTCTTTCATTACTCATAAAAATTTCAAAAAAAAAATCTGCAACAGCCTGTCTACGGTATACATATTGAAGAGTGTTTACTGAAAGAAGGTTTGGAAGGTTTCCCGAGTAGACCTAGTAGGAGAAAGCCATATGAATGAATCAACACTTACAAAACGTTGAAAGAATTATTTCCTGAAGGTTAAATAGTCAGAGAATTTTTTTCTTCCTCACTTGTGGAATAAAACCTAAATTTCAGGAATTTTTTTTGTGAAATTAGCTGTATCGTAATTTTATTTTCAAAGTTTTGGAAAGATTGTATATAGCAAATATGATAATGCTGTGACTGTCTCCACAACGGACATTATTCACCTCGAATGAGCCTATGTAGTTGTATCCCTAGGGATTACCAACATATAGCTTTTTCTTCAGCAAAATTATAATCTCAGACAACCAAAAATTAGTTAGGGATTTTTTTTCTTTGCAATAAAAAAAATTTTTTTTTAACACTGCTCAAGAGATTTTCGGAGGACATATTGAAAAATACAGTCAAAGCAATTTCGCTTAATTTTTTTTTCCTAAAAATTAGCTTTGTGAAAAAATGTGAGTTATAAGTTGGGTCTAGAAATTACGCATCTTGCGAATATCGAACTGACCTGCAAATCTTGGATTTGTGGTCAATAAATGCAAAGCGGTAGTTGTACCTTTTTTTCCAAAAATCATTTTTTTCAATAGCTATATGCTATGCTCAGCAGTTGATGAAGGACACTTTCATTATATTTTCGTGCTTTAAAACAAATTTCTTGAGTGCAATATGGAAGCGCGTTTGTTTGACTACTTCAGATTCGGTGGACATACTACTGTAATTTTTTTTTCGCCTTAAACAGCAGCATAATTGTCATCTAACTTTTGAGGCATGCTGAGTGTTCCTCATAGCGGAGGCCATCAGAATCGACATGCCTGACTAAAAAGAAACTAATAAGTATTTGCTTTTGCTTAGCACGGCGATGCACGAGATCTAACCTACGCATGGGAGATTTTTTTTCTCTGCGCTGTATGGTCAGTTATCAACACGGAACTACCGTAAAAGCAACGTATAGCGTATCTAATGTGATAGTTGCCAGTTCCTCTCATGTCTTGTTAAACGGCGGCTGCATTGTGCGATAAATGTTCACTACTAGTCTCCGGATTGACTGTAGGAAGCACGCGCCGAGACCGATGGTTGATGCATCGGTGTGGATGATATGGGGTTTTCCTAGAATAGGAAGCACTAAAACAAGCGCATCCACTAGGGCATGTTTTAATGCTTGGAATGCTATTTTTTACTCCTTACTCCAAGAAAAACTGCATGTTTTATGCGAAGTTTGTTCAATGGATGGGAAATTATAGCAAAATGCGGTAAATCTTCAAAAGTACGATCCTGCACTAAGAATGATTTGAGTACTATTGTTATCTGTAGGGCGCGGAATTTTACTTATGCTGTCGACTTTCTTTGGGTTTAGACGTGTACCATTTTTGCTGATGAGTACACCCAAGTATTGAACTTCAGATTGGAAAAATGAGCACTTTTCGGGGGTTAACTTCATGCCAAAGTTTTGTATGCGAGTAAAGACTTCCTCCAAATCACGAAAATGTTCAGGTACGTTGGAACTGGCGATGATTATATATCCTTTCTTTACAAGAACTATTGGCGAAGCAAATTTGCTAGTGCTTGGTTCGATAATGCGAGTGCGCAACAAGCAGTGGTATCAACGCAGAGTACTGTTGCGCTTTTCCAACGGGACACGATAGGGTCTCTGTTTTGGAGTTTTAGCATGTGGAACGAAATTTATGCGATGTGTTATAGGACCTCTATATAATCCTAAATCGCCATCTTGGGTGACAAAACAAGAGCGAAAGTTTTTCAAAAGTTGGAAAAACTGCAATTGTTCTTGTTCAGAAAGTATAGATTTGTCAAAATGAACTAGTTCTTCAATGTTACTTACTTTTTCAGATGGAAAAGACGGCATTGTTTGACTGATATCTACTTCTGGTGGTACATATTCTTCAAGTTGAAGCGGTGTTAATATGCTTTCTGATTGATGAGTTGGATCTACCGAAAAAATAGGCGGCCAAGTCATGTCTTGTTGTCGACAACAGAAAGTAAAATTACGACAATATAAGTTGCGTAAGACATACGCTTGCGGGTCATATTATGCAACTGTTGTTGTTAGTCGCGCGTCTCAATCGTAAAAGATTACGCAATTATTAATCCTGTTCTAAGGTTTATCGCGACACGAGCAGACGCGAGCATTGCACTAATCGCGGCTGTAAGGTCATAGCGCGCAGATATCAATAATCTGGCGCGGGGTCACATGCTTACAACATACGAGGGCAGCTACGTTGCTTTATTGCCAGAAGGAGGTCACCGCGCGCGAACAGAAGCACTGGGTTTCGCTATATTTCCTGAGAGGTCGAAGCATTACGATTGGTCGACACTTCCCAGCAGAAGTTATCTGCAGTGGGCCAGCAGATTTATCTTTCTGGGTCTAAAACTGCAGTTTTTATTTGAGCTAGCGATTGCGAACAAGTCCATTGTCTAATTATAAAAAAAAGAAGAAAAATAAGAATTAGTTAACGAAAATTCACGGAATCACGGTTTCACGGATTCACGGATCACGGATCACGGATCACGGATCACGGATCACGGCTGCTAAATGCGCTTTCGAATTCACGGATTCACGGATTCACGGAATCACGGATCACGGAAAATGCGGGCGCTTTACGAAAGAAAGAATTGACAAAAATGGGACTGTTCGCAGGACTGTTTAAATAATTTTTATTTTATTTTGTTTAATATGTTTTCTTTTCTTTCTGAAATGGTTAAATATTTGACTCATACAGTGGTTAAATATATCACTCACACGGCTAATATATTTTGCGCAAAATAAAAAAAAACACTCACACACAATTGTTCGTCGGTGACGTCCATAGCGATCGATCGAATTGTAGAAGGGGGAGGGGGGGGGGGGCGTGTAAATTTTTTTTTTGAAACCCATATCAAAAGTGAAGGTGAGAAAAAAAATTCTAGAATTCTTAAAGAAAGAAATCTTGTAATCCGTACACCCCTAGACTTGACATGTCTCAGGGATGTCAAGTCTAGGGGTGTACGGGCCCTAGCTTGATGTGTAGCGGTACAGGTTGGTATTATATATATTTATTATCTACATATATTACAAGAAAGGGGAAGGGGGAGGACTGACTAAGCAGCCTTACGGTGCACGGTCGTCGGGGGTCACTGGCTCCTATCTGACCTTCTCGGCCAGCTCACGGGAGAGCAGCAGGCGGGGCTTAGCTGCGTCCCGACACTTCACATAGAATTTCGCAACTTTTTGCATAATTCCTCCGAACATAATTTTCTAGGCATCTAGTCCAAAGTTAGTGTCTTATGTTGTGCCTACGCTGTACACAAGCAATTTGTTCATTTTAGCTAGAAATCGTGCGAGCCTCTTATAAGGCACGAGCTTTTCAGTCGTATAACCTGTCTTCAAAGCTTGTGTTCAACTGAATGATCGCTCATTCTTAGCCAGAGTTGAAACTGAAGGACTTATGGTAGTTAACGAGGTAACGGCTGGCAGTTGAAGGTAGTGTCTGGGCAGATTTGGGAACACCTCATATTAACACATCCCTAAAGCGGGCTCATGCAAGCCATAGTCCCGTTGCGAATGCAATTAATACTTCGGCGGGAAAATCGCTTCAGAATTCTAACGATAAGTATAGACACCACTCGACTCACTCTCGTCCTTGCTAGTTCTTGCATGGGGGCTCGCTTCGTAATTTGTTGTGACTGAGGCGTTCCGTCATCTGCCCGAACACCACCTTCAATTCTGAGTGATACTCAGCGGCTTTTGAACGTCTGGCAATTAACGTTTAGGTGACAGCTTTCAAATGACTTTTAAGCAACGCAATGTTTTATAACCGGGACCCCGCAAAAACGTGTTCCCTTTGCTTTTTGCCCCCAAAGACCAAGTCCAGCTTGCCTCCAGTCGATCTGGTGTCGGGCCACGCTTCGCGGCACTGGGCGTATCTTGAGCAGTTCTAGTTGCTATATTAGACATGCTTCAATAGTTTATCACGAGTTATAAGCGCTTGACTAGTTAAAAGGCTCCGCAAAGAAAAAAGCTTTATTGCAGGAATACCCGAAAATCCGAAATCATGGAGCGTACGTGTTTTAATCAGCCTTTGGTGGCTGGCGAGTCTTACACTTATGGCTACTTTTACTGGAAGCCTTGTCGCCTTGTTTGCAGTTCAAAGGGATGAACATCCGTTTCAAAGTAAGTTTTAGATTATACTGGATAGAGCGTCTGCAATAAAATGCTCCACAGTTCGATGACAATGGAACTGAACTGTTAAGAACGAGAACGAGTAACACAATCAATGCACGTTTTGCCAAATTTGTGGAAGCGTTTCAATTGCGCTCAATTTGGAATTTTGAAATCCAATGAAAACTTATGTAGTATATCTTCCTCAACTTGTTGGTCATCTATCAGTAAAAGTGATGCCCGTGAGCGAGTCCAACCGAGCAAAAAAATTTTTTGAGAACGCTCACTTGACGTATTATAATTTAAAACCAAAGATAGCTGAGTATTTGAAAACTCCTCTATCGTGTAGCCATAGACCGATCGTATGTAAACTGCGAAATTTTCTTATCCTCCCATTTATGACGCGACATTTGTACATCAGAAGCAGACTGACGTGATTGCACTTCACCTAGGCCAAATTATCGTGCCAAAACAGATGTAATAACTATTTGGAAGTTCAAGCCAACTCAAGATCAACTTTGGTTTAAGGATTATTGACTTATTTGCAAAAATGCAACCAGAGAGGCAGCTCACCTTCACACGAGGTAGCACTCGATTCTTTGTAAATCTTCTAAAAGCCATTTTTGCCGATTTGCTCTATCAAATATTTGTTTTTCTCCGCAGCATGCCATACTTGTTCATTTTTTGAAGGTTTTGGAGAATAGATAGTTAATGAAATAAATCAGGATCAACGAACTCTATTCTCAACAAAGGCATTCACTGGAAACAATAACCAGCGCCGTGCAGAAATGATGCACGATTGAACAGCGGAGTTTGATTCAAACATAGCTTATCGTCGCGAGCATTACACTGCCCACTAATCTTTTTTTTTTGAAGAAACCAATCGTATATGTCTCTTTCACGCTTTAGGCGAAATTAAATTAGCAGATTACTTGTCGCCGAACCGCTTGGATCATACCAAGTAAAATATAGAGACTCAAAAATTCGAGGTTTTGACCTGCATAAAATAGGTTTAACCTGAGTCAAGATTGATGTCAAAGCTTCAGTTACTTTACTCATTCGCAGCTTTCGAAGAGTTGGTCAAGCTGGTGAAATTGGGAAAATTTAAGATACTCCTGGATCGCATGCAGACGTGGACCATGATACAGGTAAACATCTTGAACATCTTCGCAATGCTGATTCCATTACAGAGGCCCACATTTTACAGAAATCCGAATTGAGACTCATGAAAGAACTTTACTATGAGATGTCCGTGAATCATAAGTTCAGATACGAGGAAGGCATAAGCAATGGTACGTTGAGTGTGTATCGAAGATCTGCCCTATGCTGTGTCTGCAGTAGTAAACACTGCCGATGATTCGCATCCCAGTTCCCAGTCAGTACCACCAAATGGATATTTTGAGATTTTATCACAGTGAATCTCATGATAGAGTACGGGGGAGATCGCTCTATAGAGACAGAACACCGTTTGCTGGGTTAGTGGCACTCAACTACAGCCCTCTACATGGGACGAACAAGAGCAATCTTCAAAACGAAAATCTGATAAAAGTTAGGATTATTCGACAATCTAACAAGGAAGGATACTTGCTCAGATTCGCCTTTGAAACGAGACACGTATATTTGGAATCAGCTTGCAATGATGATTCCAAATATGCTGTTAATAGCTGCTGAGCATCATTTTGAAGCTAGTTGTGGTCTCCTTTTTGTGCGTAATCGTGTGCTCATCGACTGACTGATGCTACGATGTTGACGTCTAGGCGGTTTTGCAACTGCACAATCAACCTTTTAAGGTCAAGAAACCTAATCTGATGCTAGTTGAACAAACTAACGAGCACATTCCTATCTACAAATCGTCTTACCCCATATTCAAAAATTATGTCAAACTCACAATAGCAAGCTCATTATTCGCTTCAGAATGATACTCAAAAATTTGGATTCGGCGTTCCAAGCTGATTTCATGCGTCTCATCTCAAGAGGCGAATCTAACAAGGGAAGCGTGTTTACCCGAAGTGGGCTTTCCAGACGAGACCATACTGCTTTGATGAGCGTTAAGCGTTGATTCCAAATCTGCTTCCAAATCTGCCAAGCGCCTCTGGAGCCGAGTTATGGGCGTTTTTCAGGTCAAAAATTTGGACACAAAACTGGAATAAAATCACCCAAATTTGCTCAAATGGTCCAGTGTCAAGTATCAGAGCTATTTCTGCAATGAATACATTTTGTCCAATATGCTGATACCTAACATTGCTTCATCTGAGCGCTGGAAAGATTGTAACAATCAATTTTACCTAATTCTTGCATTCATTTTTCGTCCCAAAAGACGGTCATAACTCGGCGTCCAGAGGCGCTTGGCAGATTTGGAAGTCAGACTTGGAATCACCGTGCAATACTCTTCAAAGCAGTGTGGGTCTCATCTGAAAAGGCCACTTCGACTAAACACGCTTTCCCTGTAAGTTATTACCCTACCCTTATAAGCCTGCCACCCAAGAGCCTGTTTTCGAACCTAGCCAAGGAATGCCAAAAATCCCAATTAAACTTCAGGTCACTAAAACGGCTTTCAGCCAAAAATTTTCAGAATGATCGTACGAAGGAGAAATTAGGCTTAAACGAAAGAAAAAATCGTGCCGTCACTATAAAGTATGTACTGATTGAAACTGATTGAACATAACATTTTTTTTGTTCAAAACTTTATTTTAGCGTGAATTCGTACAAAACACTTCAACAATTGAAAAACGTCAGATTTTTCAAAAATATTTCATTTATGTGCTGAACTTTAAAATACTAGGAATTTTTACAAAATGGTACTTTTCCACTATCCGGACCCGTTTCTTAAGGCTCACATAAAATACGTTCTTTAGTCTGAGAACAATTTTTCATAGATTCCACGAGGGCTGCTTCTCTTTCACGTGTCGGGAGAATACTGGCACGTTTTGGTTCGTTTTGACATGTTTTTTTCGAAATCATTTCCTGTGAGTTAAAAGCATTTGTTATCACCTGAAAACCGTTTAATTGTTTTACTCCAGCTTCAACCTTTTCGCCATGCGAATTTAACTAGACGAGACTGTAAATGATTTCTTGGAGTTCCTCGCTTCTCTAGTTTCGTCACTTAGATGATGGGACCCTAGCCCGCTTCTTTATTCTGGGCAAGTCTAATCTGTTCATTAATAAAGAATGCTATTATGATAACAATGCTCATTTTTGATACTGTTCAGTTGAATGTGGGGCCACTATTGACTAAATAGCAGACTAAACTTATCATTCCCTCAACAGTTGCTGCTACCCTTGGTCTGCGTCTCAGACCTACCACGTGTGGCTAACATGTTGGCAACGCGGCAGCAACGTGTTTGCAACATGCCACATCATGTTGGCAGAACATTTCAATCATGCCAACATATTGCTGCAAATTGCAAACATGTCGTTGCCACGTTGCCAACATGTGAGCCACACGTGCATGAGAAGTTGAGAACTGTCGGTAGTAACCATAAGTGATTTTCATACTTTACTTACGCTACTATTTATAAAGGAAATTTCGCCTTAAACTTTCTTTTTCTCATTGCTTACAGCATAGTAGCCAGATGTTCTTTCGCACATCAAAACCGTCTGTCGTTGACAGACGATCTTTGATCAGCATTTGAATAGTAATGACTAAAGAGCAAAATCAAATATGAAACTGCCTATAAGTAAAACTAACTGTACCTGCTAAGAATATGAGTTTTGAAAATCCATTCAATATATGTTTGAGTTTAGTTCTCTTCACCGAACGAATTCATTATTGTTCCACGAACTTGAATTTAAAAGTTTTCTGAGAACAGATCACTTTTTAATTTCCAAAAATAATCTTCAGAATTCACATCTTCGTTTACCATTTTTGCAAAATTTCTGGAAAAAATGCTTATCACACCTCCCATTCACATAAGTTTTTCATAATATTTCATACTTTGTTTCTCCTAGCCTCTCTTCGTCAGCTTACGTAAATTGGTGCTATATCATTACGCATGCATTGAGAACTGATCATGTAATTATGGTGTTCAACGGCATCGCTCATGTGACGTCGCGCACGCGGCAACTAGCGGCGGTGCGGCGTAGCGCGCGAACTGCTGAGCGTTGAGGCTTATGGAAACTACTTCCCAGTGAATTAGATGTATAAGGTAATAAGCATGATTCGACCTTCTTTTGCTTGCTCTTGCAATCTTCTTCCGGGGCTCCGCCCCGGACCGCGCAAAAACGGTTTCTCTCTTGCTTTTTTCATCAAAAAGGATTTCCATTTTATCATTTGCCCACCTCGTGCCGGGCCCTGTTTGGAAAAATTAAATTAATTATATAGATCAAATTTACACAGAAAAACTCTTTATTCAATCTTTAAATAAAGCCACGGTTTTTCCCTTTCGTTTGAATCTAACTTCACGCTTGTGCGATCATATTGAAGGTTTGGCTAACAACCAGTTTCAGTGACCTGAAGTTCATTTGAGATTTTCAGCATTTCTTGGTCGATTTCCAAAACAGGCTCTCAGGGATTGTCGCCATGTCTTTGAGAGCAATCGGAGACAGCGAGCATGACTGTATCCTGCAGGCACCTCCCGAATCGAATTAATTCTCGGGTTCCTAAGTTCCGTTCCCCTTGTAGCAGCCCTAAGTCTCGATTGGACGAGCCCGCCCTGAAATTGGTGAGGGTCAAGCCCGTTTCCTTGTGACTCCCGTTCCCCACAACACACAGCACAAAAAAATCTTATACAGGGCTTCTAAATCGCAGAGTCGTTTGCACCAGCGGTCGCGCGACCGCTGGTGCAAACGACTCTGCAATTTAGGAGCCCTGTATATAAAGCTGAATGTCTGTTTGTCTGTCTGTGTGTGTGTCTGTACGTATGTTCCGAATAGAAAATTAAATTTCTGAACCGATCGGGACCAAACTTGGCACACATACACTTCGGGACGGGGCGGGTATCATAGGCTACTTTTCGTTATCGATCGATATCGATTTTATCGATTTTTTGAGCTACAGGGCTGGGAGTTGGCACAGGGGGATAATCGAGCATGCTGATTACAAATATATTATTGACAGGCCCGGGCGGGCCGGGTTTGCCAACTAGTTTACAAAAAGGCGAAAATCCTCGGTGACTTTTTTCAATTTCCAGGGCTGGCGCCGTCCAGCTGCACGTTAGTTGGTGCAGATGCACTGATTAGGCGTCAGCCGACGCCAAATCCCTTTCAGCGGCAAACCTGAAAAAAGGATATTAATGGAGCAAGCTCTATACATTGAAAGAGCTTTTTTGCTTTACCAACTAACGAACAACCTGTCCCGCTTTTAGCTTTCAAAGAAAAACAGCCAGATAGCGTTTTCGGCTTGGAAACGCAGTTTCAAGTTCGGCTACTTCTCTTAATCGAAAGACGCGCCACCAAAACCACCAAAAATTCAGCAAGCGGAGGAACGAGTGCGCGGGATGGAAAGAAGCGAGCAAAAGGGGTATATGTCAAGAATAACGATAGCTGGTAATAGTGGCACCCTAAGTGCCCGGGTGTCAATGAAGGGTATACAGGTAGCACCGCCCCATAACGGACAAGCTACGCAGGCACCGCATTTTGTAGCAGTAAATGCCCGAAGCGTTGTTCTTCTTTATTTATGATTTATGTTGAAGTTTCTGCTATGTTCTAAAGATGGAAATAATCAGCAATCTCATCGCTATAAACATGCGAAAGAAACGTTTTGAGTTTGATTTAACATGGAAATATGTAAGCTCCTATGATTGATATAGGAAACGAAATTTAATGAAAAGAATTGAAGTTTAGATCATTTTTCCCGGTTTCTTGTGTAAGTGAGGGCGGTGTTCCGTGCGCGCGAGCAGCTGGCAGCTAACGGCTGGCAGAGATATCGTTATTCTTAACCGCCACCCAAGCAAAAGCACTACACAAAAGTATGGTCATCTAGAAGATGAAAAGGGGTTCGGACTGTTGAAACACAGAAAGTTCAGAAGCGCAGTCGCACTTTTCTGCCATGAGTGAAAAACATAATGTAGGCCATATATTGCTCCTTTTGCTTTGAAACGATGACTGTGATCATTTCATGAAAACACTATACTTAGACAACTGCCTAATCTTAATGAAGATTATTACGAAAGTCATCTTGCTGTCTCAATACTTGGCTCGACATGCTATGTACTCGCATCGACAGCAACCTACGTAGTGATCACAGAGGATTCTCAAAGTGCAACCGCACGTGACGGTTGATTACTGTAGAAAAATTGCGAAGTAGGTTCTGAATAAGCAGTAGCGATTAAAGCAAGTGCTGCAGTGAAAGCAACATCTACGGTCTAAATCTACATCAACATCTACAGCCCCAATCAGGATTAGGACGCGTTGGCTGAATTTGCGCGCTCGCAGCGCCAGGGATTTGCGTTGCATACGCGCGCTGTCGCAAAGAGCGAGGATATTGAAGAGAGAGTAGAGCTAGCCGTAGACATGACGCAATACCCTCTTGTGGCTGACTCGCGTCATGCCAATTTTGGCCTGGTTGGGATTGGGACAGACTGCACTTTTTTATCATCACGAAACAGCTGAACTTCCCCAGTCCTCACTTTCTTGAAAGTGCTGCAGTCCTTGATTGCAGCCACACATTCCGACCTAGGGGCATAAGATTTCACAAAGGATTTACAAGAAAACAACTAGAAACACGAAAACTCGAATAAGAACGATCAAGCATGTACAGAAAAGCAATCAAATATGCTCCGCAGTACGCTGTGTATTGAAGGCGCCAATTGGCTGTGTACATGGCTTACATTTCCGCGGCAATTCCCGAGATTTGCCGACATGCCGCAGAATTCAGTGTTTGAATTCGCAGCATCCAGTTCGGCTGTTGTGAATCACTTCAAAGCTGACCGCACAGGCCCCTCTCTACTTGGCCGTTCCAGTAGTCAACAGTTTTGCGCTGAACATCGGCACTATTTGAGTCCTCCGCGGAATTCCGAGAGAATGTCTGGGTGAAAAAAAAAACTTTCGGCATCGCCATGCTTTACTGTCACCCTCCTTACTTGAGTGGCGGAGCATCATTTCAACAGTGGAATAGAATCTTTAACAGTTTTAATGCCTCATTTTGAAGATCTGGAAATGGAAGTGTGCCATTTCTGACTAACAATCTTGATTTGATTTGCTCGAATTCGTATAATCTTTTCAAATGACAGAAGGAAATGGGCTACCTGTAGTTCAATCGACAAAACTGCTTTGCAGCCGCAATTAAACTACGAGCAAAAAGAGCGTCCCCCCCCCCCTCTCCTAAGTCCCATGCCTTTGTCCGGCAGTACACCTTATATGGCGTTGAATGATTGTCATTACACAGCTTTTATGAACTTTGAACCACTTTTACTGTTGTAATTTCAGCGGTCAACTTTCTCCTAACCAACTCGCATTTCGCTTTAGTTGGGCCAGCAGATATCCTAGAAATCTACAAGCACACAGACTGTCGACTTTATTCATTGCAAGAAGATATATTACCGACGTACCTCTCTATAGCACTGAGGAAGGATTCTCCATATACCAATTATTTTTCAGATAGGTTCGTTTTTCAGCCACTGCTCTATCATTGAAGCATAAAAAGATGCGAGGTAGGCCTCGCAGGAGCGTGGCAAGTGTCAGGTGGATATCAGGCGGAAAACGTAAAGGGGAGTCTCAAATATGTGATCATACGCAGCGCGTACCTCTTAGACATCTGTAGCCCTCGATAAACAAGCCACTGAATAAAGTGCTTTTAATCTGCTTCAGGCGGGATTTTTGAAATTTTTGCACTCACAGTAAGTAACTAGGAAGCAAATGACTCACCTACAGTGCACAAATAGATGTGACATTATAGCAGGCTACAAAATTTGTGAGAAAATTAGCGGAAGGAATTCTCTTGAACAATTTTCAGAATTGATTTAGGAAAATGTCGCAGTTTAGCGGTAACGGAATGGCTACGGATTTGGTGCGTATACGCGTTGCGTGATAACTTACGCATCTATATAAAAATCTAATGGTATTGAAGACTATGCTCAATGTTTCCCCAAGTATTGTGGCACTTGCCACCTATCGCCACCTGAAAACGCGAAATATCCAATTCTCATCACTTTTTATAATACTTATAAATATTTCGAGCATAGTGCAGAATTTGGTTCTGGAATCCCTTCTCTTATTACTGCGAAAGTATTAGATTGTCCGGAAATTAATGCAGGTTTTGATTTCCGATCGCAATAAGTCATACGCTTCTCATTTCTGAATAGGTTGCAGGGTAGCATTCGATAGAGCAAAGCAAGCTCTACAGAATGGCTATCTTGCTTTCTCAAAAGCTCTTATTAACCTCGAGTTTCGAGCCAAAAACTAAAAAGATTTAACTGCCCGAAAAATTAAGAAAAATCGTAACTTAGTTCACAAAAATCCTACAAAAATTCTAACTTGCTCACGTAAACACAATCCACATAAAACATCTATATAAGCCTTTGCCGTATTTTTTCCTCTGTTAGAAATCAAGACAACGGAAAATTTCGTGCATTTGCCAAAGTGGTGCTGTGCCGTTCCCACATAAGTAGTTGTATACTACTAACCTGTAGAAGTACAAACGTAAATTTCCAGCTCTCTACAAGCTTTAGTTCTCGAGAAATATCGAATACAGTTTTCCCTACTCATGTGGTCAAAGCTAAAATTCAAATTTCTCGAGAACTAAAGCTTGTAGAGAGCTGGAAATTTACGTTTGTACTTCTATAGGTTAGTAGTATACAACTACTTGTGTGGGAACGGCACAGCACCACTTTGGCAAATGCACGAAAATTTCCATTTTCTTGATTTCCAACAGAGAAAATAATAGGGCAACAGCGTATATAGATGCCCGATGTGTATTGTGTTTACGTGAGCAAGTTAGAATTTTTGTAGGATTTTTACGAACTGAGTTAAGATTTTTCTTAATTTTTCGGGCAGTTGAATCTTTTTAGTTTTTGGCTCGAAACTCGTGGTGGATCAGAGCTGTTGCTAAAGCAAGATAGCCATTCTGTAGAGATTGCTTTGCTCTATCGAATGGTATCTTGCAACCTACTTAGAAATGAGACGTGTATGACTTATTGCCGTTGGAATTCAAAACCTGCATTGATTTCCGGACAACCTAATAGCAACGATAGCAATCAACCTTGAGGAGAAAAGCGAACACTAATCAGTTAGGTCGTTCCATAAATTCGTAACGTTTTTATAAACCAACGAAATCATCATGTTTCAGTAAAAATCAATCAAAATTATATTCCTCGTTGTAGCGCACGACCTTGTGGCACAATCTTATTAGCTTCTCAACCCCAATTTTTTCAAACGGCAGCGCGCCGGGCCCCAAGAAAGTCATCTGACTAGCGCTCAAACTGCTTACTGAAATCGAGACATGCACCATTTATGAGGTTTGCCAGAGAGCGGAGCAAATGGTAATCTGGTAGAGCGAGGTTTGGAGAGCACTTTGCGATACTGAAGTACTCCGTCCAGTCAGATCGTACAGGACAGTTTTGACGACCTTTGCCTTATGACGATATGTTTCGTCATGCAGGAAAACCCACTGAATCTGTCTTTACGCTTTTTCTGCGGTTTAGGCGGTGCAATTATCTTACTTACGGTATGGTTGGCCATCGCCTACCTGTACAGCAATTTTAAGTGCAGGATGTCCTGCCTGTCCCCCGAAAAGTCTTGTTCAGGGACACCCTGCTGAGCCCCTAACCTTTTGTAACAATTCAATCCTTTCTTGTCTGATATTGATGTGTGAGCACCATGTTTCATAATCGACACAAGAATTTGTGCAAAAGCGCTCCTTTTCACAAGGAAAAATGCACAAATGCCGAAATTGCTCCTTTTTGCCTTTCAAGATTTCCATCTTTGGAAGCTGCGAGGTTCGAGAGAATCAGCTTTCCACCGAAATCAGTAGGCGTATTTTAAAGAGCACAATCAGCCCTTGCAAATGATATACGCATTTTGCCGCAAATCAACCGCTCCTTAAAGATATGAGGACGAAAATGAAAACGCTACGAACTTATGGAACGACTTAATAATAATCTACTGGGCGCGATGAAGAGGCAAATCATAAAATAACGAAAGGCAAATGCAGATTCATTTTACGTGTCAACATACCACACCCGTGCCGTACCGTGATGCGAAGATCCATGACAATCTGACAGACTCTTAGCTTCAAAGGGCTGCAAGCAAGCAGAGGTTACTAGTCGATCCAGCCGTTTTAACACGTTCACGACAAGGTCGATTTTTCGATTACTGCCGTTTCGGACCAGAGCCTTTTTTGCTTTGTCAAAGTTACGAACCACCCGTGGGTCGTATTGTCCGAAATGGTAATCTTTTTGGAAGAATTTCAAAACATGTCTCTGAGAATTTCCTCTCAAGGGTTATCGAAGGCGCTGATTACCAAAATATGATTTATTTCGGTTTTTGGCATTGTGCGGTAAGGTTACGATAGTCATTCTGTACGAACCCAACATCATGGATTTTCATGAAAAATTGTGTTTTGGGGTTATTTCACGTGCTGATCGCGATTATAGTGCCCACTTTGTTCACTACTTTCTCACAGTGGGCTACGGTAACAGTACGGTGAAATTTTTGTAAGAATTAAGAAACTGTTGCACGAAGGCGGTATAGAACTCGAGACTATCATTTTCGTAATCAGCATGCTAAAAATCTATAGATGTAAGGTTTTGAGCTTCCTGGGATGAACAATGCGAAAAATCAGTAAAATCAATAAAACCAATAATTTTTGATGGGCTGACATCAGCCTCGTGCCCTCCTTGTATTTTTCGTGTATGTAAGCTTAAGCTTTCAAAAACAGCACCACTCTGCGGAAAATTTGAGCTAAAGTCTGCGCCTTACCTCTATCTACGGTATACCTACCGTAACCTCACATCACAGTATCTCGAACGCGGACACTCTGCCTGGAGCTTCGCCAAGATGTCCCCAATCATGTGCCAGATCCCCGTAGAATTCCATCGCATACTGGCAAAGCTAGAGCTTCAGAAATCTTACGACCCACCGTTTCGGACAATACGACCCGGTGGGTGGTATTGTCCAAAACGGCAGACCACGTACGGCAACCAGTGGGTCGTATTGTCGTGAACGTTAAACAAGACGACAGATGTGGTTCATCGCGAACGTTTGGAATGCTAAGCTATCTGCATTCACAATCTGTTGAACGGCCTCTGAGTAAGTTATTACCATATTTACCAAACTGCAAACCTAGTGTCCGCAAATAATTTGAACTTGTTTGATCGTTTGTATTTATAAAATCTTTGCCACTCTACCATCCGTGCCTCAACGGTGGGTTTGTTTCTATTAGACCGTCGTCGTGATTCGAGCAACTCCAGCAGATCGAGCTCCAAATGGCCAGATGCCTGCATATCCATCGCGTATGGAATTCAAATGCGGGGGTGTGACCGATGCCTTAGACGCTTGCCATCGAAAATATTTTTTGTAGAGTAAAGAAGTCCTTGAGCATGATTTTGCACCGCAACTTTGTTAGTATCTCTTTCTCGAGTCAAAGTTGGGAGATGAGTTTTTCGTAAAGATGTCAATACTTGGGTGAGTGACTTTTCATACGATGAGCAATTCCGAGGTGCGAGGTGTGAACACCTACGGCTAAGTGTGAAGTCTCGCACCTCCCTGTCTAGTATACTGTAGAAGGGGGGGGGGGGAAAGGGACTTTTCATACGAATGCCCCCACATCATCTTTTGGCAAAGATCCAGTAAAAACTGGCACCATGCCAGGTTTGGGTCTCCGGCTCCATTCCAAAAAACAAAACATCTAGATTAGCTTTTGCAGTACCGCAAATTGGGATAAAATGAAAAGTTGAATGCTGTGTGAATTCAAAAAGTGTTTTGCTGTGAAAAATAACATCATGATCGTTCCACTTACGAATTTTTTAGTATTTAAGTCTGCATAATTCGGTTTTTCTTTTACAAACGTTTTGAACTGATTTGAGTATTGTCACATGCCTCTCCGAGCCTTCAGCATGACCTGGAAGTGCTACTCTTCCCATACGGGATATTAAAGAGGGAGACGGTTAGGGGCGCTTTTTTCCTGGGTGTCATCAACTTAAAACTCCAATTTCATGCTAAGGGAGAATTCGAAAAGTGCCGGACAAAGTTTATTGGCTTACTAGTTGTTTGAAGTAACGTTTGAAGTAAGCTTTATACAACACAAAAAATCAGCATATTCTTTACTTTACGCATTTTTGATAATGAACGTTTCATTCTAGCCCATTGTAATCAATAACTGGTCGTATTACCAGCACCCTAGCATACCGCTAGAAGGTCAAAGTGATCGGGGAGCGTTCGTATGAAAAGTCCCCCTCCCCCTCCCCCTCACCTGGGCGTAGTGGAGAATCTTACTCATTACGTGGATGGAGAGGTGCGATGTAGGTGTGAGGTAGGTGCGAAGGCTAGGTGCGAAGTCCCTGGTCGTATGAAAAGTCCCCCCCCCCCCTCAATACTTTCACAATAATACTGTTTGCATCGTGCATTCTCGGACAGTTTTCTAGAGCAAACAATACTACGGTTTTTCGTTAAGGTACCGGGCATACTTCACGCGACTCCAGTCGCGACGCGATCTTGCAATATTCCAACTATCCTAGCTCATTGTAAGAACATTTTAAATGTACATAACATAGGGCATTTGATCAACCCACGTAAGTTATACGCACCTTGTGCAGTTTGTTGGTGTTGAATCTGAAGAATTCTGGCGAATTGCCAAATCGCGTCGCGACTGAAATCGCGTGAAGCATGCCCGGCCCTTAAGACAACTGTAGAGTAATTATTAACCAGTGGCGTGCTGAGCACGGGGGGGGGGGCACGAGAATGGGTCGCGAAATTTTTGTTATTAAATCTTACATATAAAGCTGAATGTGTGTCTGTCTGTCTGTATGTCTGTACGTATGTGCGGAATAGAAACTTATATTTCTGAACCGATTTGGACCAAACTTGGCGCACATATACTTCGGGGCGGGGAGCGTGTCATAGGCTACTTTTCGTTATCGACCGATATGATTTTATCGATTTTTATCGATTTTTTTGCAGAGTTCACCTACTGGGCTGGGAGTTAGTATAGGGGAATAACTGGGCATGGCGATTTCGAATACGATATTAGTTTTCAGAATTATCGATTACTTTTATCGATTTTATCAATTTTTTTGCAAAGTTCGAGCTACAGGGCTGAGAGTTGGCACAGGGGGGGGGGTATCACGAATACAATATAAGGATAAAGGATTCAGCGTCTGCAGGCATGCGCCGAACGCACACTACTTCATAGTCGAAGAAGCAATTGTATGCGTGCGGGCTTATTACAGTGACTTGCGGGGGGCAGCCGTTTGCCAAATCAGTGCTTTTATCCCTCCAGATTACTCTGGTACCAATTAACCGGCCCCGGAGGGTAGAGGGTTTGGTCGGCCCAGGGGCAGGGATCGAACCTGTGTCCGATCTGGTCATAGCGTTGCCTCATACCACTATGCCACTCGTCCCCGAATACAATACTAGTTTTTGGTATTACCTATTACTTTTATCGATTTTATCGATTTTTTCAAAATTTGAGCTGAAGGGCTGGGAGTTGGCACAGGGGGGTAAGTGGGCATGCTGATTTGAAAACAACACAGAAAACGGGAAATGAAGTGTAGAAGTGGGCGCAGGGAAAGGCTGTGCAGGGATAGGGATGGGGCCTTTATTACAGTGTTTTGACAGGGCCGAGCGGAGCCGGGTAAGCAAGCGTCAGGGAGCCGCAAAAATTCTGAAAAGCATCCCCAAAAAATTTTCGGAGTGCGTGGCTGACGCCACGTACCTTTATTCGAAAAAAATTTTTGTCGCCCCCCCCCCCCCTAAGCGGAAATCCTGGGTGCGCCACTGTTATTGACGTATGTAACTCTTTATCTTGATGGTTTTTGCTGGTCTTTTTATATTGCAAAGGCTTCGGTCTGTAGCAGTGTAAAACAAAGCACCCTTATTTATTAGTGTAAGATAAAGTCACAAATTCTTGAATGGTGTCTTGCCATCGAAAAAGCGAAAAGCTGGTTCACGAGTACCAAAATTCTATTAGGTTGTAACATAAGTCTTGTTACTTCTTCTAACGGTGATTAGTCGTACACTTTATAAATTCAATAGAGTCCTAGGGTATCGATAGAGCAAGGCAAGCTCTGCAAGATATCTGCAAAAGTTCGCATTACTTTGACCTACTGTAAGTTTGCATCCAAAATCTAAGTCGTGCTGAAGGCTCAAAAAATTGCGAAAAATTCACATCTTTGTTCAAAAAAAGACCTATAGATCTCCAGCCTGCTCAAGATGCACCTTATCAGACACTCATATGTATTATTCCTGTATTTTTTCCTCATCTAGAAAAGCCTTTGTTTTCGAGATATATCGATTTTAGAGCATGGAGCACTCAAGTGAGGAAAGCTAAATTCGGTAATTTTCAAAAACTATAAGCTGTAGGAAACCGAAAATTTACCTTCTAAGCGCTCGCTCATAGTGTATAAATACATAAGTGGAAACAACACAGATTCGTTATTGTATAGGAATGAATATTTTTGTCTTCTCTATTTCTAATGAGACAGCAACAGTATTTTTGAGTGTTTGATGTGATGTGCAATTTGCGTGAGCAAGTTGGAGATCCGCAGAGTTTTTTAAACGAAGATAAGATTTTCGCAATTTTTTGAGCCTTTAGTAGAACTCAGATTCTGGATGAAAATTTACGGTGGGTTGAAGCAGGTGCGAATTTTTGCAAGCCAGCTTGTAAAGCTTGCCTTGCTCTATCGAATGGTTCCATGTAGCCCCATTGAAAATGTGAAGCGCCCAACTTTTCACCGTAAGAAGTAAGTGTAACAAGACTATGCTACCCTTTGCAACCAGATCGGCTGCTGAAAGGCGGGGATTTATGACCTAGGAAGTGACAGCTCGGGTCCGCGACGCAGTCCGTGCCTCCCTCGAGAGCATGCTCTCTGTTCATTTTCTAGCCTTATTTGATCGGTGTTGTAAGGCAAAGCTCGCGCTATTCTCCAAAACTTGAATTTTTTGCAGCTCATAATACAAAAAGCACGAAACAAACTCGACGTCATTTTTTGCCATGGTAAATGCACTGCTCAGGAGTTTTTTTAGAGGTCAGTAGAGAACAACCCGAACGCTTTGAGCTTACGTAGATGTTGTGAGTTATGAATAAGCTTATATCAATTCGGTTCGTTTTGTTGGTTCGCTCAAATTTTAGTTAAGAACTATAGGTTTGCAGACCGTGACACACCCTGGAAGAGCGTTCAGCAGATAACAAGTGTAGCTTAGAGCTCCTGGCAGATCGAGATGAATCACATGTGCCTTGTTGAGAACGGCCGTGCCGACTTACAAGGAAAGGAAGGTTGGTCGAAGTGGCCTTTTGAAATAGGATGTATACTGCTTTGTAGAGCTTATAACACTGATTACAAATCTACCTTTGCTATCTGCTGCGGGCTTCTGGGCGACGAGTTATGAAGGTTTCTGCGAGTAAAAATCTGAATGCAAGAGTAGGCTAAAATCAGTAGTCACATTTTTATAGGGCTTAATTGGTAGTCGGGTCACTCGGTGCAACAAATGTTCTTGATTCAAGTATGCCAATTCGCTGCTGCCTCATTTAAACATTGGGAAAGGGTTACGATTGATTTTACCCTAATTTTGCATTCAGATTCTTACTCACAAAAACCTTCATAACTCGTCGCCCAGAAGCCCGCAGCAGATTGCAAAGGTAGATTTGGAATCAGCGTTCAAAGCTCTACGAGGCAGTATACACCTCATTTCAAAAGGCCACTTCGACCAACCTTCCTTCCCTTGTTAGTATCCTTCCCTTGCAAGTGAGAGATGATCAAAGAATTTCGATACAACTTATTGTGTCATTCATTCTATCTTTTTCTCTTCACAATGTAAGCTGTCTAGGCGCAACGTTTTAGTGACAGTGCACAACAAACAGAATTTTTTGTATACATTTCTGCTCATAAATATTCTTTGATCCTATTCGACAAAGTCTGTTTTCATTATCACCAGGTGCACATTCATTTCTGGAGATATCATATAGTAGCATATGTGCTGAAAAGCAATATCCGGCTAAGGTTGGGATCGTGAAAATTCGATTTTACGCGACATCCTGATCACTGAAATAAAACTATTTGTTTACTCCGACAGTCTACAAGCGATGGAGGGCGTGAAGCGTGCCCACGTTAAGTGAAGATAGTGCAGAAGGCATCGCATTTATTATAACTGCCAACAAAGAAGTTGGGGCAGGCTTTGAAGCTTCCGCGTTGCTTGTTGCTGTCATGGTGGTTGTATCGAACTCCGAAGCTTTTGTGTCGCTTCTTACTTCCTTTTCTTTCGGTTTAAACATCAAACTCACGACTCTATGCTCATTCTCTTTTCTTAAGGCAGGGAGACGCTTTCTTCGACTAGCTCTAAAGTCCATGCTTGGCTAAAGATCAAACTTCAAGATTCATTCGCAATTCTGGTCTGAGCAAACAAAAATACGCCCAGTTTAGGATACACGAGCTTTTTGCCCGTGGCTTCACCAAAAAATGGATACAAGATTTCGGCGAATATATAGCATCAAAGACTGCGAGGCAGTGCAACGCGACCTCTGTTAACGCTCCCAACGGTAGCTTTCCTTTTGATTTTTCAACTTTGCTCTAATTATTCAATCATGCTTAGGTACCCTCTCACTCATGCAAGCACAGGGGGCATTTTGGATACTTATCGGCGGAATGTCAGTCAGCATAGTGGCGTTGCTTCTCGAACTGCTGTTTCACTTAATAAAGAAAAAAGCGTGTACAGAAGATGGACGAATTGCTCAGCTCAAGAAAAGATTTAAATCTATGATAAATAAGAATTGTTGAATCAGGAGATAGAATTTTTGATTAGCTTACTGCTCAGTTGCTCACATCGTTATCTCGATTTTCTATTCGAGACATTGCATCTCATTTTGTTGCCTATTAAATAAATGGCTATGCCTTGTGTACCCTTTCATGTTCAACTCTGTTAACATTTGGTATCCTGTTTTGTTCTGATTATTTTCAGCACTAACTACGTTCGTTAGGCGCACCTTCAACATGCTGATACCAGTGACGGACCGAAGGAAAGGGGTCGCCCCCTCTCTCTCCCCCCTCCCACCCCCCAGGAATAGGTCGCGAAATTTTTGAAATTTACTTACATAAGTTTTACAAAAATATGCAAGTAACGTCTATTCTTGTAAGTGATTATTAGATTGTCTCATAATTTTTTCTGACTTTTTACTGCAACAATTCACAATCTTCTCAACTTCGATTACGCTGCAGGGTACCATTCAATAAGGCAAATCAAGCTCTATAAAATGATGTGTAAGTGTTGCACCAACTTCAGCACATCAAAAGTTAGAAGCCGAAACCTGAGACGTTTCGGATGCCCGAAAAATTGAAGAAATTTTATATGTTCGTCCAAAAAGAACTTAACACATCCTAAACTCGCTCACGTATATACACTCCACATAGAACATGCATATATGCCGTTGCTGTGTTTTTTTTTCTGTTAGAAACCCAGAAATCCGAAATTTTCAAGGTTTCAAAAAAGCTGTGAAGACTTTGTCAGCAGTTTTTACAACTGCGTATTACACTAGCCAAAGTTCCTAAGAGATAGTAATTCAAACAAAAAATACCACAGTAAATGAATTTGAATCCGATATTTCTCAAGAACTAGCACTTCTAGAAAGGTGAATTTAGCGTTCCATTTCTAAGCCCGTAGTATAATTTATCTCAGTGAGAACAGTGCAGCATCGTTTTTTTTTCAAAGCACAGAGACAAATAGAGTAAAGGCATATAAATAGATGTCTTTCGTGAAGGGTATATACATGAGCGAGTTGGGGATTTGAGAGTTTTTTTTTGGATTAAGATACGAAGGGTTTGCAGTTTTTTGGGCATCCGGAACGTCTCAGAGTATGGCCTCTAACTCTTGTTATGCTGAAGAGCTGGTGAGCATGCTTACAAGCCATCTTATAGAGCTTGATGATTTGCTCTATCAAACGTTACCATGCTTCCTAGTTAGAGTCAAGAAATATGTGACTCACTGCTTTAGAAAGTCAAAACTGAAAAAAACTTTTGAAACAACTACTAAAATGATTTTTAAAAATTTCAAAAAATCAAATCGGCCTTGTAAAAAATTTTCTTCGGCTGCTGCCACGCTCTCTTCTAGATGAGGTCATGGACCAGAAAAAATCATGAGAAGTACCTCAAAAAAAATTTAGAGTGCGTGGCGTGAGCCAGTTAAAAATTAGCGTTTGATGCTCTTCAAAGTGGTATATGACTCATCTGGAATAGCCACCTCGACTAATCGGACCTCCCTCGTTAACTGCTTGTATCAATATTTAAAAATCTCCGCTCCGCGCAGGGACCTATAATGCAAGCAAATTTCTCGTCGACGATAATGTCCGTTAGCCTCTTCTTTTGTCATCACTGATCTCCGTTATATTTTTGCATGCTAGTCTGGAACCCACCGGCACCCACCGACCCTCCTTCACGCATGGGGTCGAGGATAAGACGCAGAGAACTCTGTCATAGCGCTTGGAGAGATCCAATGTATATTGTAGTAAGGTTGTATATGTTTATGTCTGGAAAGTACACAGGGCTCAGATTCACCATCAGAGGTGAGCCATATCAAGGTAAATAGCAAATTCCGCTGTCACTAGAAGGCAAAAAGTTGCAATATTGAGCAAGATTAGCCACGATAGGAAATGTGCCTGCAAATCTTTCCATATGTATTCACGAGTTTATGCCAGTGGCGTACCCAGGATTTCCGTTCTGAGGGGGGGAGGGAAAGAAAATTTTGCTTCCCAACATTTTTTGCGGGTCGCCCCCGAAAAAATTTTTTTCATAAACTGATTTAACACATTCACGACAAGGCCGATGTTTCGATTACTGCCGTTTCGGACATAGCCTTTTTCGCTTTGTCAAATTTACGACCCACCCATGAGTCGTGTTGTCCGAAAAGGTAGTCTTTTTGGAAGAAATTCAAACATAGTCTTTTTGGAAGAAATTCAAACAATGTCCCAGAAAATTTCTCCACAAAGGTTATCGGAGACGCTGATTACCAGAATATGATTTATGACACTTTTTGGCAGTATACGGTAAGTTTACGGTAGCATTTTGTACGAACCTAACATCATGGATTCGTGGAAAATTGTGTTTTGGGGTTATCTCACTTGCTGATCACGATTATAGTGCCCACTTTGTTCACTACTTTCCCACAGTGGGACTACGGCGGCAGTACGGTAGATTTTTCGTAAGAATCAAGAAACTGATATAAGAAGGCGGTATTAGAACTTGAGACTATCATTTTCGTAATCAGCATGCCAAAAAGTCTATATATGTAACGTTTGAGCTTCCTGGGATGAACAATGCGAAAAATCAATAAAATCAGTAAAATCAACGAAATCGATAATTTTTGATGGGCTAACATCAGTCTCGTGCCCTTCCTGTATTTCTCGTGCATGCAAACTTGATTTTGCAAAAACAGCACCACTCTGCGATGAATTTGAGCTAAAGTCTGTGCCCTACCTCCATCTACAGTATACCTACCGTAATATTGATTTACAGTATCCCAAACCCGGACCACTCTGGCTGGAGCTTCGCCAAGGTGTCCCCAATCATGTGCCAGAACCCCGTAGAATTCCATCGTATATTGGCAAAGCTAGAGCATCAGGAATTTTACGACCCACCGGTGGGTCGTATTGTCGTGAATTTGTTAAGAAAGCGTGGTTTCTACATTATTCTAATTCACACCCGTCTTCCACTCCGTTTCATGGCAGTCGTTGAACTCGCCAAAGCCTCAACTTCAATGGCGTCGCAGTGCAACAACACGGGATCCGGAAAACGCCATCGCTTCATGAACGATTGTGTTACATTTCGTTGCATTTTATTGCTATAACTTTCACCATTTCAGTCCTCATTCCTTCTGCCGGCGGCATTGTGCCGATATGTCGGCCCTCTTTACATGTGTATCACTTTGCCTGCATCTCACTGAATAAGTATCGTAAAGGTTATGCCATAACCATGACCTGCTGTGATATAAGACTGTTTACTGCTCAGATCTCACCAACGTCCTTCGCCACACCTATAACCTATGGCATTCTACCACCACCAATGTGTGTGCAGGTCGCCTGTCTCAATAAAGCTTTAGTGCCCTTTTGTTTTATATAACACAAGCGCTATTTCTCCTAAGGCTACTACAAAGCCTAGAATTACCGTTATAGGCCGTCCGCGCAGGGCGCGGAGAGTGCGCAAGGTGTGCATTGCGCGTCACTCCTCTTTCCTCGTGCACTCTCGCCGCCTGTTTTTCTCTGCGCTTCTTCCAGTCGTGAACTGCCTTCAATGTACGCAACAGCGTTACTCTCCGTGCGCAGCGCGGACGGCCTATACAAGAGCCAACTGTAAGATAATCTTTGTTCTTCAATCGTTTTCAAAAAGCTCTAATATAAACTCAGTTTAAAAGCGTTCAGCAACACTTTGTGAAAAATAGAAAAAGTTTGAGATTTGTCAGAATTAAGGGTTCGCGATCCCCTTACCTGATATGTAGAGGTACAGGTATATATGTATTTATTATTTACATATTATATTACAATATGGGGACGAAGGGGAGAGACTGCAGAAGCAGCCTTACGGTGCACGGTCGTAGGGGGTCACTAATCCTGACTGGCTTCAGTGGCCAGCCCCGGGGAGAGCAGCTGTTTGAGCTGAGCTGAGCTGCGTCCCGACATCTCCATTCCTTTAGAAAGCTCGTCCTCGAGCTTGTTTGATGATTGTTGAAGTCTTCCGAGTTGCGTGTGTAAAGAGTACACGTGTTACGGCGAGACCATAGAGAACTTCGATTACGGTACCATTATCTTCAGATTGATTGAGTAGAGGAGTTGGTTTAGGCGGAGTGGATAACCAAACACGACCTTCACCTCAATGTCAGGATTAAGGGTTCGCGATCCCCTTACCTGATGTATAGCGGTACAGGTAAGGTATATATATATATATTTATTATTTACATATTATATTACAATAAGGGGACGAGGGGGAGAGACTGCAGAAGCAGCCTTACGGTGCACGGTCGTAGAGGGTCACTAATCCTGACTGGCTTCCGTGGCCAGCCCCTGGGAGAGCAGCTGTTTGAGCTGAGCTGAGCTGCGTCCCGACAGATTTGTACAGAAAAATAATGGAAAAACTTTACATTAGATGCAATCGAATAAGCACAAGTGCGCTAATACAAACAGAAAATAAGGATCCTTCAAACTCGCTCTACTACATTGGAGATAGTATCTGTCTTCTGAAATAGGAAATTTGATGCCATTACCAGAATGAAAACTTGTGCAGATAAAACAGCGAAAGGTGTAGTATTGGGTTGTCCCAAAAGTAAACTCCATCTTCATGTAAATTGAGATGTTCTCGTTTTCCTAATATACTTAAGATACCGTTCGATAGAGCGAAGCAAGCTCTACAAAAAAAAACACCAGAGATCTGCCTAAGTCGTAATCCAGGTAAGATTTGAGGCCAAAAATCAAAATTTTTCAACTACCCCAAAAATGAGATCTCCTTCCAGAAAATTTTTACGGGCCTCCAACTTTGTCATTATGTAGTAGACGCATAGTAGTACCCGAAAATGTATTTGGCGAGAAAAAAGATGGCTCAAAAAGGCCTAAATGCCATTTTTTTCGGTTTTTTAAGTAAAACTTGGTATTTCTTGATTATAAGAGCACATACATGGGTAAGGCTTTGAAATTATACTTAGTAAAGCTTGTAGCTTACAATGACATATGTGGAAGGGGCTGGGGGCGGAGTTTGCCATTTCAGACATTTATTTCTCGCTTTCTATGCTCGGAAAAAATTCGGTTAAGGCATTTTGAGTATGTGCCAATGTATAATGAGCAAGCTGGAGGTCTGTGGGATTCTTTTACGCAGGTATCCAATTTTCTGGTGGCAAAATTTTTTTCCGAATTTGGCTTCAAACTTTCCATGGAATGCGACTTAGGCGAATCCTTGGTGGATATTTTGTACAGCTTAATCTGCTCTATCGAATGATGCCCTAAATCCAAACAACAACGACGTGAATTATCTGAAAAAGGAGTTTACTTTTGGGACAACCTAATAGGATAATCGTATGTTTGTGTTAATTTCCTATCAATTTGTAATCTTCTACCTATCAAAATTCTGTATGAAGCGATGATAAGATGCGTAGTAATATCACAAACCACGGAAAGGCTAGGATCCTTCTGTGAACTGATTTCCACTTTCCTGTCATCAATTGTCGCCCATTAGCAAGTTTCCAAAAGAGTTTGCTGTAGTATGAATTAACTCGTTATTTATAAGTCTACTGGGCGTAGAACTATTTCTGAAACAATCATTGCATCAGTATATATATATCCCAATTTTTACGAGTATAGGACGGACCTTTTTTGATTTTTCAAGCGAACCGCTCAGCCGCCTTGCTCTATTTCGGAAAACGAGACTTATGCCGCGCGATACTCTCAGGCAATACAGCACTGTACATAGCTTCTTGGTCGCGAAGTCCTTCGGCGTCTCTCTGCTGTTCGATTTTAGAAGAAAAATCCCCCACTTACTATACTCGCGAAATTAGGGTAAATGTTGTCTTGGGTATACGTCAACGTGTCTGTCCCCACCCACTTGCTAACGACCCGTAGGGTCGCTAGTAGCTATATAGATTGTAATATTTTACAAGCCAAAAACACAGCCGTTTATCGGATACTGTATCGAGTAACCAAGTATTCAATCTCCCTTTACAGACGGCTTCCCTAATCTAGGTACCACTATACATGCACATTATTAACTCATTATGAGCATAGATATTCTAGAAATGAAACGAAGAAATTTAAAGGTCACATAACACGCACGAATCTGGTCTAATTTTCTACCAACATGAGGAGAAAACAGTAACCTAATAACGACTGAGAGATACTTCAACAGTGCTTTGACTAAGAGTTAGTACAACCGTATATAGGGTACGAAGCTCATTCATGCCTTATCAACGAGAGAAACTCCGCTCATTTCAGCAGGCTTTGGCAACCCCATAACAGCCAGGACAGTTGGTGCCACATCGCAGAGAGCAGGGGCTCGATCGGTTAGCTTAAACAGATACATTTGATGGGCTCCTCTGAACAGCACTGTGGAACTCACCTTCTTGAATTTGAATTCATTGCTGCTACAAGTGAAAGGCACACGGTTGCACGTATGGGCAGTGTGCTTGCTACCATCAGGAGCCTTCATCTTCTCGGCATTGCCATGATCGGCTGTCACCATCAATACATAGCCTGTAATTTCCGTATACATATTTGCCTTACCGGTCAACCAAAATAAGATACCTACCATTTTGCTTGCAAGCTTCAAAGATCCTTCCAATTGCTTTGTCAGTAGCTTCACATGCTTTGACTGCAGCTTCGTATACCTTAAAAAGCATATTGTATCATGATTTGAAAGAAAATTTAAACATTAACTTAACATTTAACTTTAAACTTAAAACCTAAAATTTTAACATTTGCAAAAGACACTACCCCAATAAAAGGGACATAATACTTACTCCAGTATGGCCAACCATGTCGGGAGGGGCGAAATTGCACATAACAAATGGATGCTTCTTCGCATTCAATTGCTCAACCATCTTGTCAGCAACACCAGCTGAAGACATTTCTGGCTGGAGATCGTAAGTCGCAACCTAAACAATGTTTGACAGTGACATACACCTAAACTCATGACTCTTACCTTAGGACTTGGGACCATGCATCTCTCCTCGTTTTCGAATTGCTTCTCAACTCCACCGTTGAAGAAGAACGTCACGTGCGCATACTTTTCGGTTTCGGCACAGTGGAACTGTGTCAAACCCTGAACCCACATATAATAGATGCAAGATTCAGCAACCACGACAAGATAAAACTGAGGCAACGTTTCACATTCCCCATGGATATGGCGCCCAAGTATCTCACTTGCATGATAAAGGTAACTGAATGGTGGCCATCTGGTGTATAGTGACTAGCGGTTAGCTAATTAAGGAACTCAAAGGGAACTTTAGTAGTCGACGCCCTTCCAGATGAGTCTTGCATCGATTTGGGAGGCATTGAACGGCAGTGAATCTGTGTTCATTCTCTGCCAAGCTCTGGACGCTTATGAGCGTTATGCGCAACTAGAACATCGCCCATATTTGCTCTAATGGTCCAGTAATTAGTATCAGAGCACTTCTTCCAATGGATACCTTCTGCCTGATACACTCAAGTCCCAGCCAGCCTCACTCAAAAGCGTCCAAAGCGCTCAAAGCGCTTTCTAATCTCTCTTCACTTTTCGTGTGAGGACAGATAAGAGAAAGTGAAGGGAGATCAGAGAAATTTAGGCGCTTTCGAGCAAAGTCTGGCCAGTGCCTCATACTAGCACTGCCACTTAAGCGCTGGAAAGACAGCGGCAATTATTTTTACCTGGATTCTGCGTTCATTTTTTGCTCCAAAAACACTCGTAACTCAGCATCCAGGGGCGCTTGGCAAATAATGAAGACAGATTTGGAACCGGTATCAGTGCCCCTCAAGGGGTATAGGACTATTTTGGGGCCACTCTGACTGAAGAAACTGCCCTTGTCAACGTCTCTGTTTTAGCCCCCCCCCCCTCCCTACAAAAGCGGTTAAAACTCGGACCGCGTCAATAGAGCGATGCCTCCCAACACACATCATCCTCCCCGGAACTGACATTCGCAAAAAGTTTACAAGAGTCATAACATGACTCTTGCAATTACCTTTCCATTTCCGCAATACATTCGCAGCGCATAAAATGCTGATGCTGCAACATTCCCAATCGATTAAGCAGGATTATAGAGGCATGAGGTTTTCAATGAAAGGCTTCATCAGCAAGCATACGTAAGTTTTCGGAATCAATATGAACAGACATCCTAACTATCGAAGCAAACCGTAACATCAGTGCCAACAAACATGAAACAAAAACTAGGCGTGCAGAATAATCGCCGATTAATAAATTTAGTAAATGACTTCAAGCAGAAAATTTTAACAATACTATAACATGAAACACACCTGTGATGCAAGCCATTCCGCCAACACGTTCTTGTTAACCAGTGGAGGGAATAGTGTGGGAAAAGGAAACTCTTTCTTATATTGTGTCATTCCTCAAATCACAAACACTATTACAACTGGTGTTAAAGAGTAGTAAAAAAAACATACCAATCACCTGCACATCTTTTGGATGTGGCAGCGAGGACTTGCAATTTTTATATCCTTCCATGCCCATAACCTATAAAACTTTCCATATGACGTGAATCAGTTACACGGTATGTACCTCGGATATTTCCCTCATTCTATCGGCTCGGTAGTCGAAGAAGATCAGAGTATCACCGTCCTTGACTCGCGCTTTATCTCCATTGAGAATGATTGGTTTCAAGAATTCATCAGTCTCCTGTGCTTCGTAGCGTTTTCGTACAACTGCTGGGGCCTGAAAAATGAAAAAAATTTTCAACAAAGGTAGAAAAGACCGTAAAAAACCTCTTCAACAGTGGTAGCTTCGCCTTTCCCTGCAATCATTGCTTCATATGCAACACAAATTCGCTCCCATCGCTTATCACGATCCATAGCGTAGTATCTAAAATTACGGACTAACACATTGTTCTCACCAAGAAAAGAAGCGGAAAATGTGAAAATGTTCGAATCAAGACCTACCGCCCAACAATAGTAGCCAATTCGCAGTACTGTTGTTCTTTTATGAACGCTATGGTTTGCTCCAGAAAACCTACTCCGCTTGTAGGAGAGGTGTCGCGACCGTCACCGTAAAAATGGAGATACAATTGGGGTACTCCAAGTTGCTTGATAGCCTTGATCAGAGCAAACAGATGATCTAAATCACACATAAACATGAAAAAAAAAACCACACAGATAATGGGAAGATTACCGATATGCGAGTGAACTCCTCCATCAGAAACCAACCCAGCAAGATGAAGACGACCGTTTCCGGACTTGGCACGATTGCAGGCATTTACTAAAGCCTCGTTTTTCACCTAAAAAACGGTCAATCTAAGCTTGCAGAAATACTCTTGTACAGAAAGGCCTCTGCTTACAAGAGTGTTGTCTTTGATGGAAAGATTGATGCGCACGATGTCCTGATAGATTGGACGACCCGAACCGATATTGAGATGGCCGACCTAAACTAACGTTCTAGAATAAGGTAAATTGAGTATACTAGCAGAAAAACTGCAAAAAATAGAAAAAAAATTTTCTGACAATGAGCAAATTCACATAATTGACTAATCAAACTAGATCATAGAGAAACGTCACTGATTGACACTAAGTCATCACAGAGCAAATGGGAAGACTCACCTCAGAGTTACCCATAAGTCCTTCAGGAAGGCCAACATGGAGACCATGCGCTTCTATCTGGGTCCAATTACCTATACAATAGACGAATAGATAAGGATAAATATAAATGTGAGTCACGATTTTACCAGAGCAGAGCCCATCCATGACAGGTGTGTTAGCATTCTTGATGGCATTGCCGTCGGATTCCTCAGACAAACCCCAGCCGTCAATAACGATCAAGCAAACTTTATTCGCCACTTTTGCCATGCCTCCCCTAAAATGACAGTACTAAAATGTGAAAAAAAAGGCTTGTAAGAAGAACAAGACAATTATGTAGTTTTCGATGTTACGATAATAGTCAATAGACGATTTCAATATAAAAAGCAGTTACGAAAACAAATCTGATATATTGTGCCCACCAACGAGAACGGACATGATGAGCTTGAAACGGTTGAAATTTACATGATCGGTACAGGGCCGAAGCGAGAATATGTGAACGCCGCAACATCTAGATTAATAGTTCAAAGCGCTTATCTCAGAATGCAATCAATGATGCACCAGAACCGCAGACTTTTTCCAGCCTTGTCAGATCTATGAAGCACCCCTAACAGACTTATTTCAGAGAGAACACTTTGCGTCATGAAACTAAAGGTGACACTAGTCTGCATCGAATTTAGCAAAAAGCAAAGATAAGAATCTTGCATAAGTACATACACCATGCGTCGTTTCCCTCTTGGATATGAGAAAGGCAATAATTGGATCTTCTAGATCAGCGAATTTTTTTCTGCAAACTGCTCCACCTTTCCGCGCGACCTCGCAACTTTCAAGAAGAAGATTCATAGAACACTAACAAGAGCGGTTGCGCTTCCTCTCCACTTCATAATTTATCTGCATGTGTGACTATGAAATGTCGGAAGTGAACATATGGTTTTGCCAGTTCAATGCAGCAGTTCCGAGCATTTTCATAATCACACTCTTGTAACCATATAATTACATGCTTTACAGATACAGTCTCACTAAGGTAATCTACATAAAAATTTTGGCATGATTTAGATTCATTATTAGACGCGGCTTCCATAAATGAGCGTTCATGTAAAATCGCGCTTGCTGAACATCGCTTTGTTGCAAGGAAGAAAAAGAATTTAATACATCTTAGCTCTTCCATAGTAAATGTGGATTAGTAATACACAACGCCTTATGAGAGAGGCTCCAAGTCTCATTATTTGAAGAAATTTCTATACATAGTTGATAACAGATTTCATATGGTTCTAGGCAAAATACACTGAAGGTATGACATTACCCCCAACTCCTGAAATAACTTCTATTGACAGTCGAGTAAGTTCATTGCTTAATTTGGACTGGATTCTTCCATCAAAAAAAAACCAACCAAGAAACCATTACCATAGAAAGCAAAAACATCGCGGCGCGCGATAGACCTCAGACACTCGCACCGGCCGGCGACCGTCCGACGACGGCCTTCCGGCCGGCGGCCGCTCTTTAAATCTGGGCGGAGCTAAATACCGGCCGGCGACCGCTCCAAAGAAATCTACCGGCTGGTGGCCGCTCGAACGGCCGCCAGCCGGTAACATTGCCATGTTGCGGGAAGTGAACGGGATTTGAAAGTTGCATGATTGAGCCGCGTAAGCAAACGCTCTACTTCTCCTCGTTTATGATTAAGCGCCATTTTTCTACTTCATTCATGTCTTGTTTACGTAATTTATCGTTAGAAGAAGGTTTTGTATGCTTGTCACTCAAAAATACCTAAACCGTAGTGATCTTACTCTATCTTTGCTAATACCGCCCTCTTTTTCACAATCAAAAGAAAATCCCAATGACATCTGTAGCGCCTTTTTCAGATTTGTTGCTTGTCTTGTATGGCGATAAAGAAGTGACACGCAGAGCTGGAACATACTGACTGAGGGGTACAAGGCTTGAATTTCGCTCAGCTTCTTGACTAAACAAAAAAGAACGAATGGGCACGTTTCATAACCATCTTTTTCAGGAGACGAATGCGATATGCATGGTATTGAGATCTTGCGCTATGCAACCAGCGCACCATTGCTTGTACTCGCTGTTTATCATCCTTACCCATGATGGAGCATATGACCTTTCGACTAACTCTTTATGTATCTCAGCACTATGCATTCATGGATTACGTGTGTACTACATGTTACACATTTCTATGGGAATTGGAATCTATCTAGTTTGTGCTCTGCTGCAAGACTACTGACCTTACGCCTAACTCCTAGTATAGACTCCACAAGACAGGTGCGTTCTTAGGCTGGGTTCATACTGAGCCGCACAAAGCGACACAGTTCCAGCACAGCGCTCGAACTGTGCTTGAAGCTGGAACTGTGCCGCTTTGTGCGGCTCAGTATGAACCCAGCCTTATCAAAAATTTGGAACTAGTCCTTGTGTGTTTCAGGGAAAACAACGTTCATTACTTGTCTGCTACAATTGCTTGAGCTTTTTGATTTGCTCTGCCCAGTCATATATAACACCGTCGGTAAGTTTTGGTGTTAACGGGATCATTTGTAAGTACCCTCGATATTAACCCATATGTCTTCCTTCAATGACGTGGATTATGTGGATTGGTGAGGCGCCGCCTCGCTTCGGCTTGCGCCACATTGCGGGCGCATCGTTTGGCGTGACCTGGTGCACTAAATAAGATGGACCAGGCTTAATAATGTTGTTCTTCTTGCCACACCATGCCAAAGAGGCGCACACAACGCGTGGCGCAAGCTTGAAGCGAGGTGGCGCCTCACCAATCCATGTAATTCACGTCATGTTGAGGGAAGACATATGGGTTGATATCGACGGTAGCTTATCTCATTTGCAGATCGTCTGCTATGTGGCATTTACATGATACAAAAGTGAACTTTTTTTCAGTCCGGAATCAGCAGAAGGACGATATGCGAGCCCTTGTCGCGAATGGATGGTACTATGCAAGAAAACCTCGTCCTCCGTGTACAAAAAGAAGCGTCCAAATTTGTAGCGCTAGTTGCATGTTGTATGAGACTTTACGCTATTATTCAATCTCATTTATGTATGTTTCCCTATATGATGCAGTTACAATAAATATATTCATACGGATTTGTATTTGCTTGTATTGAGGATAGGCGGCAGAGCGAAATAAATACGGAAAAAGAGAAACCGCGTCACATGGCCATTTCGTATCGCGGCGCCCACATACCGGCTGGCGGCCGTACCTTTCCGGCCGGCGGCCGTCCGAATACCGGCCGGTGGTCGTAGACTACGCGGCTGAGTGAAATCACCTGTGGTCCCACCAGCCGGCCGTCGAACGGTCGCCGGCCGGTGCGAGTGTCTGAGACATCTGCGACAAATGTTGTGCACTTGCACAAACTGCAAAATTTGGCTGACCCCACGCCACAAAGAGAGAAATTGGCGCAGACTGTAGTTCATTTATAGAATCGTGGCGACGGATTTTACTGCCGACTTTGCGCCCACAGAAGCATAAAACGCTTATACAAGAAGGCAGCACCTCAATGTCCAGCTCAGTCACTTCCAAGGTCTAAATAATATCATATGTAAGCAAAAAAAATTTGACTAGAGACGAAAACCAAGAATACGCGATCTCCTGAAGTGGCGTGCGTGTCGCGAGCGGTCGCGCCATCGTCGCGATTTTTCAGATGCCCTGTACATATAGTGCACTTAACAACACTTTGTAAAAACCTGCTAAAAAGCGCACGTTCCCAAACCCTGGGCCGCATAGGTTCATACAGGCAAATGTTGTCACCCGCGAAACTAGGTCAGCCTCGAAATCTCTATCTCTATATATATAAAACTCAAAGTGTGTTTGTCTGTTAATAAGTATGTTTTTTATACAAATCTTTCTGAGTGGACCAAATGAGTTAAAACTTTGCACGCTTATGTTTTGGACCCCGGCGCGGAACATAGGCTACTTTTCGCGGCGATTTACTAGACCCTTCTATTGATTTGTTGATTTGTTTACTTACATCTGGGAAAATGAGGCTTGACATGCTCAAACCAATCATTTTGCTATGATCATGTAGTCAGGGGATGGTAAAGCTCATTTTAATCTCAATGTCGGGAAAAGCGGGTAATTCGTTTCAGCCTTTTTGCGCAGAATAAGCTTAAAAGCATAAGTATAAGTAACTTCTTTTTAGCTAAACTGGAGTCCCGAGTGAAACCGGGATCGCCGGCTAGTCTACTATAGATTCAAATTAGGTTATAGGATGGAGTTAGTGTAATCATGTACCAAATGTTCCTAAGGAGAATTAGTATTTGACATGATGCTCACGTTGCACTGGTTTCGCAAAGCAGTTTTTAAGGACTAAGTTGTGAATACGGTAGCTCTGGCGGTAACTCCATGTTAGGCAAGTGCCATCATATTAATGATCGTCCTAGACGATGTTTCCGCAGAAAATGAAGTTTCAGTAGTTTCAACCCACTCTGAAAATTGCCAGATTTCCATAAAAAGTTTTTTCTTCGCAAAAGGTAATATTTTTTTGATCACCATATCAGATAAACCCGCCCTCCTTCTCCTTTAGAACGTTATCCAAAAAGCAGAGTTTCTAAAATTCTAGGACCCAGATGCCAAAAAGTGCTGTATTTCCCAAACAACGTTATATACACATGGAATGCTGTAGTTTTTTTGGATAATAATGAAAGATAAAAAAACATCAGGTTGATCCAACATTGAAAGTTTGTAATTGCTCTCTATATTAGCGCATTTACTTACAAAAATATCTCCAGATGGAAACATTCACCTATCTTCTACAAAACAACTTTACCATCTCTGACGACTAGCTTTAGAGATAAAATCTCGAATAGGAGATTCACTCTAACTCTGGATTCCGGAAAATAAACTGTCAAAATTCTAAAACGCTGCAGAAAAAGTTGAAAACATGTCTAGTACAGATTACGTGAGCTGCTCTTCCTGACAATGTCAAATTTGTGCGGATCGAATCCTACGGGAAGACGCAAAAAAAAGGATTTTTTCTGCATTTTTTCATGAAAGTCCTAACTTTTCATTAAAAACTCGATCAGAATGGATTTGAAATTTTTAAAAGAAAAGCTCATGTAGACTGTAACAGACATGTTTTCAAATTTTTCTACAGCATTCCAGATTTTTGACAATTCATTTTTTGAATCAGAACTTAGAGTGGGTCTCCTAATCGAATTTTTATTTGTGAAGTCACTTTTCCAAAGAGCCGCAATGTTGTTATCAGAAAATGGACAAATTTCTCCATCTGGAGATACTTTTCGTAAGTAAATACGTTCGTACATATAGGAAGCAATTTTACGAATTTCTCGAAATCAAAAGAATGATCAGAATGATCGGGATAACGCAAAAATGCACAAAAGCGGAAGCAGGAGGTGAACTGCGTAGTGATGCAACGGGCAGTTGGGACTATTGATTCCAGGAACTATAGAGGACGGATGAACCAAAGAACAAATCGTTGTGAACAAAGTGCATGCCACTAGTGGCATGACTAATGCTTCCCTATCGAAAACTTTTCCGTTGTAGATGCAAAAAAGGAAGATGAATGGAAGATGACTAAGGGAACCGCCATTTCTGGGGAATGTCAAGAGGGCAATGTTTAAAAAGTTATGACATTCAACTCTTTTGAGATCAATCGATGAGTGCAGAGTAACCTGAGCAGTTAAGTCAAAACACACTGCGAATGTTCCAGCGGCTCGTTCGATGCCGAAAGAACCAGTCGATAGCGCCATGTTAAAAGGGGTTGACGTCATTGTCGCAACAAAGTTCTAACAGACCATGACCACCTTGGCTTTGTTACAACCATTGCTCAGTGAGAGGTGGAAGAATTTAAAATCTTCAAAAAGACCTCTGCAAAGTAGTTATATTAGATTGGTACGAAGATTCTTGCATAAAACCAAAAATATTTCGTGAATTTTCAAATCAATGAACTTATGGTTCTAAATTCGAAAAGTAGAAGGCTCGTTGCGCCTTATGACAGTTATCATCAGTTTTCTCTTGGCTAGCCCCCTGGGAAACCAATTCCAAACACGGAACATCAAGTGATTTTAAGTTTGGTCAAAGAATACTGAAGCGCCGCTAGCTAGCCCCACAGAATTTTTAAAAAAATTCTTATCTAGCATTGGTCCACACATCACTGCGGTGATCTTCAATCTAGCAAAAAATAATTTGAAAATTCGTAAAAATGTTATGTTGCAGGAGAAAATCCTAAATGCTGCATCTTCCTTGCAGAAGCACAGCTCGAAAAGAAAATTTGACACAGTACTTACCCAGGACACTTTGATGTTCTTGAAGTGTCAAGCCGTGATTTTGCAGAAAAAACACAGTAGTAAGTTTTTTTTGAAAAACAACAGTAGTAAGGAGATTCGTTTGACAAGTCGGCATTTTTCATTACCTATTCTTGTTTTGTAATTTCACCCTGTGAGGTACTTGTAAATATATTTCTCGAAAGAAACGTTTAGAGATCTACTGGGGCTAGCTAGCGGCGCTTCGGAATTTTTGTGATCAACTCAAAATCACGAACTTTCAAATTCTTTTACAAAGATTTGTTTCCAGAGCTTGCCAAGAAAAATTTAGGACTGAATTCCTGTTATGAAGCGCAAACGTTTTTTCTATAGGATACAAAAACGAATTTAAGTTCATGATTAAAGTATGAATATTATTCGAAGCGAGAATTCCGTGACCTAACAAAATATTGCCTGCCAATCGCTAAGACCCGAAAGCATAGGCTGATTATCATGAATTATCAGGTCTTGATGAATTGATTGCATTACAATGGAAGTGGCAGAGACAGCCAATGAGTGTGTTTCTCATGTATATGATCTATATTTGCACAACAGGCAGAAACTCAATACATTTCACAATTAAAACTCATAAGGGCTATATGGCAAATCAAGATAGCTTTGTCTGGTGACTGATACCTAGCGACACTACTTACAGGGGCGGCAAAAGTCTAACATAAGAGCGTAATACTTGTTCAGGTCTAATCAGAAGAAAAGTACCTAGAAACAAAAATCTGGTGCAGAAATTCAAACATCTACAAGTACAACGCAGCTCTCAAATCATGGGATTTCCTCTTTTGTCTTCAAAGCAACATTTCAAAACCTTGGCGAGTCCACCTGTCATGGCAGCCGTAATGAAATTCGTCACACGCCTTCACGATAATTGCTTCCTTCACTTGGCAAATGTGCAGTATGATAGAGCAAGCCTTAGCTACAACATATTACAAAGAATTTTTTGCAGTGTTTGGGAAAAATTTTAAAAATCTGTGAAGGCAAGTGTACTCGCGTAGTGAAAATGGATGGATGCGATTGCTTAAATGGAAGCAAAAATCACACATGAAAGTATTGAGATTACTACGAGCACATTCAATTAGACGCTTTATAGAAGAATTAGGAAGGAATATAACAGCTTGAAACTCAGTGTCTGCTGCACTTCTACAGCTTTCAAGTTTGTTTTGAAGACAGCCTGTGGCCAAGGTATTATTCGCACATTTTTATTTTGAGTTTTCAAAATGATAGTTTTTTTTTCTGGCAAACGCAATTACTACGATGTGATAGCACATCTTTTAAATTGTAGGCATCAAAATGTTGTAGAATATTCGTAGCATCTGTATACGAAATATACTATGAATACTTAAAATTTTGACTTTCTCGCTCTGCAGAAGCACTTGTTTGAAAAATCTCTTACAAAAACATATGACAAGCAAATTCGGCTAGGTAAAGTGTGATTTGCAGAGGATGATCGCAGCTTTTTGCAGCATAATTTTGGAATCAAAATCATCAGTATTTGCAATTTACAACATTGCAAAGTCAACTTCCAGATTTTTGCCGGACCCTGTATAATATGTAGAATAGCAGCAGAATTGCTGCTTGCTTGATCAACAAGATTGATTCAAAATAATGCCCAAAGCTTTGGAGATGGTTTTTTGGAAGGTGGAACTGCAGGGAATGCACTCTTTATCGCCTCTACAAGCACACAATCTCGATCCTCTATGTAATTCCCGCTCGTCTAATCTTCGTGATTCAAATTTTACTTTGCGTATTCGTAGTCAAAGCATAGTCCAACGATTCTATTTTTGTGACAGCGATTTGATAAGGTTGAGCGTAAACCCTAACTGAGATAAAGGAGAGGTTAATACTTTGAAACTTTTGCATTGAATAGCTTTTTACAGAGCTTTGCAGACCGACAAAAATTTGCAATCGTCCTATCTTGTTGGGAGATAAAATACAGCGGAATAGCCTGCGAAATGGAAGATGAACCTTGCTCTGGATTCCGCTGTGTTCTTGTTGGCGGGGAAGAACTATTTGTTTCCTTTGGAACTTATAGATTTGAAAAAGTTAACCCAATTTCTTCGACGATTATGAATACAAAATGGTCAGTGACTACCATGTATAAGTGGAGTAATTTTGTTTACATAACTAATGAGATAAAATTTTCTAGAAAACAAAAACATACGGATCTGATCCAGCTCCAAGTCTTGGATCCATATCCCTGCAAAAAATTATTGTTTTACATGTTAGTACAGTTTCAAAAGCCTTGGTAGTTAGGCAAAGCAAAGACTGGACTGTTTTTTGCAGATAAATGGTACGGCAACGGCGACGAAAATCACGAGTGTACCCATTTTAATTTTCGACTTTTCCTCTACCGCAAACCTCAAGGAGAAAGGGAGAGGGTTGGCCCGCCGAACTGAAAGATTCATCATCTTTTTGACTGTAGTGTCCAAATTAACATAAGGAAGGTTGTCTAATCACTTCAGGCAAATTATTCTGAGATTATTTGCTCGATGCTGATTTATACACAAGTTTAAGAATTGAAAAGCTGTGAGGGGACCCGCGCGTTGTCCTATCCCGAATACCGCTAAGTCAATCAATCAAGAAAACCTTACTGGAAAAGCAGGACATTTAACCGAGAAGGAAAGAAAATGTAAAACCCACAAAAAGTGAAGAATTGGAAGGAGAGCAGAGGACGCACAGTTCGAAAAAAGGGAACTTCTCTGATTTCAGGTTTGCATGATCTGCCATTGCGAAGTAAGCCGAGAAAATTGTATGTTTATGACTGGATTCACATTTAAAATTTTTTTAGAAAAGTTGGTTGCCATGAATTGTTGAAAAGTAAAATCAGACTATATTCTAATAGCATCATCACTCTTGAGATTAGCCGGTTTTTACTTTATTTCACGAATAATATATTGACAGACATTATAGGCACAACCCCTCTCAGACTGTTTGAAGTGGAATTTAAATTATAGGAAATGCATGCCTCCAGCATTTTTACAAATACCTGAACAGTTCTTTCAAAGCCCCTAGTCCATTCTCTTTTGTTAGTACATTTCCAGCTTTGAAACTTTCGAACACAATGAACATTGCAAAATTTGATTACATAACTCGAAACGATTGTTCTTGTTTGGATCATTCGTAAAACTGATTTTCGCCGATTATCCACTTTCTCAATCATCATGGATCCACAGACTAAGTGCATTTTTGCAGCTTTCGAAAAATTGGTGATTTTGTGATTGCACCAGTACAAGCGAAGAAGAATGAATTCTGCAATCATAACTGACTGACAGATTAGCACCTCTTCATGGAAAATAATCGGTGATCTCTTATAAAACTAGTAACAATGTGGGCGAATCACATATAGCATTATATCGAAGGCGAACATCCGTGACGGGTCGTGGTAGAAATGTGTACATGATTTGATAGTGAAGTGAACCAGTGAGAGTAGTAGGTGGAAATTGTCCAAAAAAAGTTTATGTGTTACGCTGAAGTGCATGAACAAAGGCATGACGACCAAGCTTTACAAAACCAATTTCACTTAATGTCTCGTCGAATCTTTTCGTTGGTCATTGATAAACTTGCAATTGATAGTAGAATTGTGAATGTCGAACGAGCATTGAGATCGCCTCACTCCTCATGTCATTAATTTCCATTTTGAACCGGTTAAAAATACGTACAAAATGTTCCAAAAGTGCACACTTTTCAATTGGTAACAACTCTCTTCCCACTAGCTCTTTTCCTTAGCTTCAATTACCATTCAGTAAAGGAAGCTTCAACTTAGATTTACAGTACGAAGCAAATCACCCAACTCTCTTCGTTACTGTGGAATTACGGTAGGAACTTCAAAGGAGGTTCAGATCCATTAATGTCTATATATTGTCCCAGAATAGGTACTCAACAAGCCGAATATCCCACTAATAGGCTAAATCGAATCGATGATTATCAATATGAAAGCACTTTGCAGTGAGATCTTTCTCATAGGTTATGGCGAGTAAACCGCAAGAACGTTTTTTCGGTGTCATTCAACAGTGAGGTTAAATGACTTAAAACGCCTAAAAAAACTCGTAAAAATTTGTCTAATGAAATCAGCATGTCTGAAAATACTGCTAAATCATATTTTTCTTCAAAAAAATTCTCAATGGCCTATTTCACACTCGCGCTGCATGATGGTGATTTGTTCCATACAAGAATATTTAAGTTAAATTCTCCTCTACTAAACGCTTCTTGAAGCTAAGCAGAAGACTTTGTGGAAAGAGAGTTATTAAGAGTTATTAACGATTGAAAAATCTGTACTTATTTTGGGACCCTGTATATTATGATTGACTAGCTGGCTTACCCGGCTCCGCCCGGCCCTGTCAAAACGCTGCAATAAAGGCCCCATCCCTATCCTTGTACAGCCTTTCCCTGTGCTCATTTCTACACTTCATCTTCCGTTCCCTTTGTTTTTATCGAAATCAGCATGCCCACTTACTCCCCTGTGCCAACCCCCCTCCCCTAGCTTAAACTTTGCAGAAAAATCAATAAAATCGATAAAAGTAATCGTTTTGAAAACTAATATTGTATTCGTAATCTGCATACTCGACTACCCCCTGTGCCAAATCCCAGCCCCGTAGGTGAACTCAGCAAAAAAAATCGATAAAATTCGATAAAATCGATCGATAACGAAAAGTAGCCTACGACACCCGCCCCGCCCCGAAGTGTATGTGTGCCAAGCTTGGTCCGGATCGGTTCGGAAATGGAATTTTCTATTCGGAACATATGTACACACAGACATACAGACATACATACAGACAAACAGACATTCAGCTTTATATATAAGATGGCAGACCAAAGTGCAGGTCTGCTTAGATATTTCGTATGCAGATACGTGCATGGCCAAAATTGGTTCCATTCAATTATGCGTTCTCCTCCTCCTCCCTCAATTACAGTAGAAAAGATCGCGAGATTTTGAAGGTGATTACATGGATGACGAAGCGCAAAGTTTTTGCTGGACAAAAAAAAAGTAATGGTTTTTCTAAACTTGATTAGAATCTGATCTCAAACGTGTGAGTCCCAACTTGCATAGAACTTGAAGTTTTCGCTTTTCGTTCAAAATTTCGATGTAGTATGCCGCGCACATGCTCACACCCCCCCCCCCCCCATGCTCACCCAAATTACAAATGACCTCAATCAGAATAAATGCCAATAATAATTTCCTAAAAGACCGCTGCTCCACTGCATGTCAGATTTTCAGCTATATAATGCATCGAGTAAGCCACAACCTCAGAAGAAGAAAAGCAAAACTTGAAAAGGCTTAAAAGAGCCAAGTCTGGAAAAAAGTATCTTAAGATGACTGAGATATGACATCTTCAACGAAGATTTACAATTCTATGAACTGAAAAAAGTTGGAATAATAGCTTTGTTAAACTTATATATCACACTGTATTAGGTTGTAACAGAATTAATGCAGGTTTTGAATTCCAACCGCAATAAGTCATACACTTCTCATTTTTAAGTAGGTTGCAACAAACCGTTCGATAGAGCAAAGCAATCTCTACAAGGTGAAAATCTTGCTTTAGCAACAGCTCTGTTCCACCACGAGTTTCGAGCCAAAAACTAAAAAGATTCAACTGTCCGAAAAATTGAGAAAAATCGTAACTCAGTTCGTAAAAACCTACAAAAATTCTAACTTGCTCACGTAAACACTATTCACATAAGACATGTATATACGCTTTTGCCGTAACTTTTTCTCTGTTAGAAATCAAGAAAACGGAAATTTTCTTGCGTTTGCCAAAGTGATGCTGTGCCCTTCCCACACTCCCTATACTACAGACCCATAGAAGCACTAACGCAAATTTTCAGCTCTCTACAAGCTTTAGTTCTCGACTTATATCGAATATAGTTTTCCCTAGTCAGATGGTCTAAGCTAAAATTCACATTTTTCGAGAACTAAAGCTTGTAGAGAGCTGAAAATTTGCGTTAGTGCTTCTATGGGTCTGTAGTATAGGGAGTGTGGGAAGGGCACAGCATCACTTTGGCAAACGCAAGAAAATTTCCGTTTTCTTGATTTCTAACAGAGAAAAAGTTACGGCAAAAGCGTATATAGATGTCTTATGTGAATAGTGTTTACGTGAGCAAGTTAGAATTTTTGTAGGTTTTTTATGAACTGAGTTACGATTTTTCTCAATTTTTCGGGCAGTTAAATCTTTTTAGTTTTTGGCTCGAAACTCGTGGTGGATCAGAGCTGTTGCTAAAGCAAAATTGCCACCTTGTAGAGATTGCTTTGCTCTATCAATGGTGCTTTGCAACCTACTTAGAAATGACAAGTGTATGACTTATTGCGGTTGGAATTCAAAACCTGCATTAATTCTGTTACAACCTAATATTTTACCATTTCATAAGCCCTAAATTAAAAGTAACTAGAGAGACTACCAATTTTTCATCCTACATAGGACCTAAGGTTCTCCACCCAAAGTAAAGCAATATCCAGAATATCTCCCCTGTTTTTTCTACTATAATGTCGCTCCATACCACCTGTGTCAATAACTCCCACTATGCTTAGAAAGAGTTATTTTCTCTTACGAAGTTCGAGCATCCCAGCATCGACGTGAAAGTAGGATTACGTGTATGCACTGTTTTGAAAGCATCAACGCTTGCGTCGGTGTACTAGAGGTCATTTGTAAATGCGCATTCTATGTAGTGTTACAAGATATCACTTCCTTCCGTTTTACAGCAGTTCGAAGAGGCCAACACAGGTGCGAAAATTCCTCCAGAAAATCGATAGAGGGTGAAAAATGAGATGGATTGAGCAGTTGTTCACGTTCGGATCCTCTGGCACTAGTAATGAGTTCAGAATCCTTGTCAGGCGCTCATAGATTTTTTGAAGACAAATCTAATTCTTTTTCAAGCAACGCTGATAATAAAAAGATTCATCTATCGTCGAGCCATTCGTAACTTAATATGTCCTGCACAAAGCGTTTCAACGGACGGCACCCTTTACATTAACTTCTCGATCAAATCTTTTCTAGCGTAACAAAGTATAAAAGTGTATACTACAAAATAATTAATGTCCTCTTAAACCAAAAGAGGCAAAAGAAACAAGGCGAAATCGCTGAATTGAACAGGTTCCAATCTTCTAAGTTCGTCAAATAGAGCGTATGGTGTGCAATACGCTTAACTCTAAAAGAATTTGTAAGCAACGTCGAGTGTTTACACATGCGCATTGCACACAATGCG